TAAACACACAGTTAATAGAAAAGAAATTAACCATAATGAAAATCTTTTTACCGAATCGGCATCCAATGGTTCCAAGTGAAATCTAAGTTAACTAGCCGTTAGTTGTTTGTTTGTTCATTTGAATTTGTGATATAAGAGGAGACTAGCTGTATTATAAATTATGCTTTTAGGCGATTTTTAGATAAAAAATACTCATTTAAATTTATTTATTTAATTCGTGTAACTAGACTATACTAATTCTATTAAGATATGTATATAACATTTTCTGTGTAGATAATTTTTATTATATTAGACATGGTACGACTTAATGGGGTTCAATATTAATTCATTTGCAAAAGTTGTCTGAATCATCCCACCGTTGATGTTAAGGACTACAACACAACACAACTGTGTTTTCTGTATCGGTTAAATCATGAAAATTTGTATTCTTCACAATATCGATCAAGTAACCAATAGTAAAGAAGACCATATGAAACAATTTATTTCATAGTGAAATTTAGACCAAAAAATTCACAATTGTCAAAGTCTAATAATTCTCAACGGAGTTAAAATTAAGATCAACAAACAGGCTTTTAACATCTTAGACATATGAATCATTAAGAATTAGGAATAATTACTCATACGTAACAGACTACCTATGTTTCTGCATACATAAGAATAAACGCTTTATTCAATCACATGTGACTAAATAATTCGAACCATTAGCTGCGATTTTAATTGACTGATTTAAAATTTATTTAATTCACAATAACTTTAACGGAAGATATACGCAAACACAATTTCATCGTCTATAGACATTGAACAAAAAACAACCTAATGACATAATACACATTGAAAATGTTTCTGTAATTCTCAAATGTCACATATGAAAGTGTGAAATAAATTTACAAAACGTTGCTAGACTGTTTAAAATTAATGGATAAATGATGTAAACTTTGATTTTCTGCTATTATGCCACAACTGATATCTCAAGAAATGATATTATTCAGTTAGCAATCACAGACTCGTCAGGCGATAATTTCTGTTTTAAATGTACCAGTTCATCTATAATTTGATGAGACATTAAAACAATGAAATGATTTAAAGAGTTATTTATCATAAATTATATATCAATTGGGAATATGTATCAATTCCAAATGGACTGTGTCGAGAATTATAAGAACATAACTAGTATATAACATCAACAGTTACCTTCCATCAACTGATTTTAAAATAGTTTTCTGAATTTGAAAGGTAAATGGTAACATGTATTTATGTGTTGAGTGTTTCAACACTTAATTGACCTTTCAGAAGAAGCCTATTTTTCCTTCCAAAGTAGAAATATCGCTGTAAGCACTAATATTAATTAATAGATCCATGTTTTAACTCCATAGAAATTAACGCTGAATTCATTTGATATCTCGTAATTCAAACTTAATAGCCTTTACGTTACTGCGAATTCCAGGAAAATGGGTTATGACTTGATTACTAGCCAGATGAAATAAACTTCCATTATGGTTGTACATTTTATGCCACATTGACTTTATATGAAAACATTAAATAGTTTTACTAAAACAGTCAACCCAGTCAATTTACTCTGTAAGTTAATCACCCCTTACAAAGCAATTATAAAGTAGTTTCACTAGACTTATTTTCCAACTGACTGTCAGTTATCTTATAAGTACAAGAATTGGAATAATGAATGAGCTGACTACGCAGTTCTCGTGGTGGCATTTTGTAGATATTGTGTACATAACCAGAAAAATGTAGTACACATTATAACCAACTGATAGTTTGTGATAACTGAAGATCAACACCTTTCATGCACAATAAATTTGCATTTCGAAGCATAGTAAGTAACTCTAGATCTGGAAGCAGCAGCTGCATCTGGTAACTACCGAAAGCTCGTTCAATCCATCCGAGCCACTGGTAGCAAGAAGTCTAGTGTGCGTAAAGCGATCTGTGAGACTGATGGGATGCCAATCATTAACATCTATCGATGTCTTGGACGATGGCCAGAGTTCTTCCAAGGGCAGTTCAACTGGCCTGCTGCTCCGGCAACACCGATCAGACTGTCCTACCCTCCATGGCTGGTGACGACTGATCCACCAAATGAGGCGGAATAACACAAGGAACTCCAACTCTTGAAGCGACACAAATCACCAAACCCAGATGACTTACCTCTGTCTCTTTTTGAAGATGGCGGCGATTTTCTGGTTAAGGAACCGTCTGAGTTGTTCACAAAGGTTTGAGAACTAGACAGTGTTCCAACATCATGGAATGAGTCGTTAGTTGTCCCTATATCTAGCATGGGTTCATGTCGTTTCTGTAACATCTATCGGTGGATGAGTGTACTTCCGATAACGTCCAAACTGTTGGCTTCCGTCATACTTCGCAGATTGTTCAAAACCCGAGGAAATCCATTCACGAGGAGCAGGCTGGTTTTCGTTTTGGTCGAGGATGTATTGATTATTATCATATCATCGTCCAACAAATGTTAGAACCCCGTCATACTTATCATAGGCCAACAATCGTAGTGCTGATTGACATCAGGGCTGCCTTCGATTCGTTGGACAGGACTGTTCTCTGGGGTTGTCTATTGAAGAAGGGTGTGCCTGAGAAGTTTATTAACATCCTAAAAGCCCTATAAACAGACACCTCAGGCAAAATGAGGGCATACAACCACCTCTCTCCATTGTTCCATTCAAGCAGAGACGTTATTAAATATGGCTCAGAATAGGAGCCAGTGGCGATCCTGCTGCAACCTTTTTCTTTCTTCATGAAAACTAGCCGTATCTTCCTCAACTGAAAGAATTCGTTCTGGTTGTTCCTTTCTGTTTCCACCACCACCATACACTAATCTGTGGTCGTAATCGCTCTTCTTTCCCTTTCATCTCTTTAATACGCGCCTTATTCTTTTTATCTTCCTATTCTCATTATTGTTATGTGGCGCATAAGTATTTGGCGACCCCTTGTACCAATGTTTGTGTTTGAATAATTAAATCCCCAAAGTCCAGCGGCATTCTTTAGATACTGACAAATCATTGTACTACTCTTACAGTTAAAGATTAGACTGACTAGACAATTACCTATGGTACTCAATTGATGATTGAAAAAGTGATGAATTACTCTATTGTCGATGAGCTCTAAACTCTGTTATTCTGAAAACCCATGTGGTAAGATGGTATTTCTTACATGCTCCATTCTTTGATGGCCACCTTTTCATTTGTCACGCAACTCCTACATCTAAACATTCTTGACTTTAAATCAATTGGGAAAAGTTTGCACACGTATCTTATCGAATTTGCAACAGATTAATTAAGTTACTGGTTCAATAGTATTTACATGGTGATGTTAAACAGATTACGCGTTATAACTTGATTGTTTAGAGACACGATCTGTTACAAAATGCTTTTCCGACAGATATGTATAAACCTTAAAAAAGAATCCTAAATGGTTACTAAAGTCAGGGAGCTCGGGTTTCGCAAAATTCATGAATTGAAAATATACTGTGAAATTAATAAGTTTGTAGACAACATACATAGTGTATAATTGGAGATCTTTTTCATGGTCTTCATTTGTGAGAATTTTGTTTTTTAGTAATATTTAACAACGGACCATAAACAAAGTAGTCGAAAAGTCAAAGAATCAAACTATTACCTCAGGGTTCAAGAAACTCAAAGTTCAAATATTACGGCGACTCTAAACACCTTTACCTTGAGAAATCACATAGTGTTGTGGTGTGGGTCACTTATACCCATGTAAGTAGTATATGATGGTGGTCAGGCATAGAATGTATTTCAGCAGAAGATCGATAAGGAAGGAATGGGAACCGAACGAAACTGGTATGAAATACATGGACAATGAAATCTGAGACAATGGACTGATATTTGCAAAAGGAACAGTCATGTTTGAGACGTTGAATTGATATTTTCCAAATTAACTATTTACTATATGATTCTCAGATTTTAGTGAGATGCTCTGTAATTTCGTGTCAAACACATTCGATTGTCCCCACTCGTGTTCTTGTTCACTACAGTATGAATAGCGCTAACACAAGGTGCATAATTTGAGGATAATTTCTTCAGGGTAAGCAAAGATAAGAATCGTTGAAGAACACTGCTAAGGTTGCTACACAATAGGATCTTGATGATAAGTAGATTGAATTAACCATAAATCTTAAGAACTCCTTTTAGAATAACTGCGGGTAATAACCATATACAAGCAACTCCAAGGTTTTGTTTTAAGCAAGTAGTTGTGCAGTTCTGAAGAAGACAAATATAGAGCTGACTTTATAGTTTGTTGGTCAAGTAACCAAATGTTCGTCAACTGAATTCAGCCATAAAAACCTATTAAAAACATGACTACTTCTGACTTAATAAATTTGGAGACCATAAATTAATCTTAAAGAAAAAGAGTAGAAAACGCGCAAGTCCATGTTTATCACCTACAATTCTATGAATGAAAAGCTGAAAATGATACATTCGATTCGCATTAGCAATTAATGAATCTCAGTCGTATTTAAGCGCACCAATTCGATCCTTATGGCATGTTTAATTCCGGAATGTATTTGGAAATGAAAACAAGTTATTAAAACACTACTTTATCATTAATTCACATAAATGAATTCCCCTTTAATAATTATTAGTAAGGGCATGAGTAGTGGGCACTGATATCAGATCATAATGAGCTTGAACACAATAGAAGGAGCAAGAAAATGATATAAGAAATAAGTAGTATATCATGAGTCCTTAGAAAAAACACTGGCTTCTTTTGAATTCATGTGTCTGGTCGTATTTTTCTGAGCTGGAGTAGAAAATTAGGGCATGAATACGTTACCTCATATACATAAGTACATATTCAAGTATTAATTCTATGGTATATTATGCAGAGGAGAAATCGCTACACCTTTGGTTAGAGAATCTTCAGAAAATGAGCTGTGATGAATAACCACACTGGATCTTGCATTTGAGTTCTGAAAGCGGTATGCACTTGTGTAATTAAATGACAAAACTGTCATTTGATTAAGATCTGTAATATATTAAACAAGAGAGCTGCATTTTGTACAAGATTTATATTTTAGTCAACCAGATTGAGATCAATCAATAAACTCAGGGACTGAACAAAAGTGATTAGATTTACAGAAATGCTAGATCAGGTTAGAAAGTAACGTCAGAAAAAACGATTATATACAATGACACAATTCACGAGTAGTCACTCTAATTCGTGGAATCTGGCAAACATTGCTCGCTTAACGTTATCTTTATAATTGTCTGACTGAGGTCCTCTTTTTGACGTTTTGATTCCAAGACCAACGCCAGCTTCTCTAAATTCGGCTTCAACTATTTGAGTTCGTCCTTGATTACTTCGACCAAGACCTTGACCAGCTTGCCAGCCCATTTTTTCCATAAGTCGACTTCCGACGTTGGGAGCTAAAAAAAATTATGAGTTACATTCAGTGAAGTAAAATGGTTGTTATGAAAAGCATCTCCATGGGTTTGTGAAATTTACGTTAAACAGAACCATTTTTGTATAAAATGACAAATAGAAATATTCTAGATTATAAAGATACAAACAGTTGGAGAAAAGAATATAAACATGCAACTAAACAAAAGATGATTTTAAATGGTCCACTCGTAATTCCAAGTTTCTTAATTATCTCGAGACTTTTTAAATCCATGAACACATACTTTTTTCTTGAATCACATCTTCTATGCCTAATGGTTTTTGCTATCATTAATACCTTTATTACTTGTATCACTCTGGCAGCTTGGTGTTCCGGTTGATGTGGTGTAGCAAATTCAACCGATAAACAAGTGTCCAATTCTTCGTTATTCATGACTGATCGACTGAAGGAGTTTGTCGTACAAGCTAACAGCTACCTACAAAAGTTTCGATTGATAAACCGACTTCATGAATTAGGTGGATGCAGCTGACCCTTCAAAAACAAATTTTATAAGAAACCCTCTGGTACTAATTCAATGACGACTATTATGAATTTAGATATTCGCTTCTTTATACACTTGACACCTTTCACTAAAAGCGAGATAATGGAAACTTCAAAAATAAAATGAACAATTTATAAGACAAAACTATTAAAATCCATAAACTGGATTACATATGTTGCCTACTATTTTAAAATAAATTACTATGCACAATCACATAAACTCACCTTCAATATTTTTTCTTAACTCCCTCCCTCTACGCATTAGTCTTAATGAACAAAAATGACACCAAACGCAATAACCTCATCTAGGACGTTGGGGCAAACAAAACTAAGTCATCACGTTAAAGTTGGTGTAACGATTAGAGGCTTTTGTAACATAAAAATCTGATCACTGGAATACTTTATACTTCATTTTATATGACAGACTTTAGCACATAGGTTCTTGATATAAGTTGAGTAGTTGATGCATTTCAGAAGAGGTAAATTTATCGGACTTAGGTCATGAGAGTTATGATTTGTGCTTTTAGTAACCCGTAATAACAACAAAGTTTAAAACTTGCACAACACACAAATCAAGTCAAATTTGGAATTACTTTTCAGAAAAATTACTATTATAGAGGGTTGATGAAAAGTAATTTCTACATAGCAAATAGCTGATTAAGTATGACAGGGGAATAACTAAAATTTTTGCTTGAAACTTGGTTTTACTGATAGAAAACTAAGGTTATTAAACTTGCACAAACCTGACTGGGGTGGAGGTGGAATCGATGGGAGGGGAGGAACGAATGAGTCTTGTTCTATATGCACGACTGACGGCTGACTTTCCAATGACTTCATTCTAGGTGGGGATGGTATTCCATACTTTTCACGACGCTCCTTGGCTCGATCACGATATTGACCGGATGCGCCTGGTCGACTACTAACTTGTCTAGAAGCTACTGATTTCTCATGATTACTGGCCGTTTGAGCACCAATCTGCATTAACGATGCGATTGAAAGGGAATTTTTAGGTGAGTTAACAGCCGTTGAAGCTTCCTGATTTTGCACGGGGGTTGGAACAGGAATTGCTGGTAAGCCATATTTTCCGCGTAATTTATTTAAATTTTCATAATGGAGACCAGAAAATGCTCTATGTTTTTGAAGAGTTGCTGCATCTTTGAAGCCGCGGGAGCACAACATACAAGCAAGCTTGGCCCAATCCAAAAGTCTATAATTAAAAATAATTGATTATAATCATATTTTAAACGTAAAGAGCAGATAACGTTTTTATTCATGGAGCACTTGTTTAACAGGTGGAAAAAGTAAATTAGATGTTACTAATAAAAAGACTTTGTTAAATGAAGACTACATCACTACCAGCATTTTTCAAAGGTTGGAACAATCAGATATGTATTCAGTTAAATATCACCATTCCCTAGTTACACCATAGATTACTAAATGTATGGATATGCAAGATACATAAACTCACTTGCTTTCTTCTTCTGAAACCTTTGTTTCAGCCTCAGCATTGAATGAAATCAATGAATCTTGTTTTTCACTATGTGTCTCATCCTGGCCAGAATCGTCACTATCTTCAACACCGCCATACTCTGCAACTAAACTGGCAGATTCAGGTGTATGCGAGTCACTTGTAAGTGGATTGTTCGCAGACGCCTCCAAAATTGCATACCCCGTGTCTGCTGTTTTACTCGCCTCAGACTAAAATAAATAGAGAGTATAAACTACTGAGCACTCTTTCGGAACTCCATTATGAAAAATAAAAAATGAAATAGTGTATAGAAATTAGAAATTTAAGAGACAAATGTTTCCAAAATCCAGATCCAAATTGTTTTCGAAGTTTCAGACAGCATATAACAAGACCAAGGAATTCAGTACAGTACCTTCAGTTATTTGCCTTAAAACAACATGGTTTCCGAATATAAAAATTAATCACCGAGGGAAAATGGAGTAGGAATTCTCAGGCATTGCCGTTTACGAACAAAAAGATAACAAGACCATGATAAGACTTCAACAAATAAATTATGGTCGAGAATAGTAACATTATCAAAATTAAATCCAGAAGAACTATTATCATACTACAAACAACAGTAATAAATTAGACAGATTAGACTAGTATTAGTCGGTACATCACGATACTCGGATTCGGGTTTTATAAATGGTGTGACTCAGTGGCTTGAGACGTATCCAGGGATGATTCCGAACTAATTAAGGGTCATTTTGTAGATCTTGCATTCTTCACAAAAGTGAGGGGAACGTTCCTAACTGAATACATGTCATTCGTGGCCGTGTTTTTAACTTATCTCGTTTACTTATTTTTACGAATTATTCAGACTAAACTCCCTTCTTTTCATATATTGATTCACAATTTCATTGTCCTGCTCATGTGGAGCATATTTATTTTGGTGACCATTTGTACCAGTATTTGTTTCAAATAATTAAAAAAATAAGGAGTCACAAAGAAAAGCAGTAATACTTCAAAAATCTGTTGGGACTCCCTATCACACGGAAACGGAAGAGAGGTGTATTTATCCTAGGTAAACTCACTGTTATCACATCAGAGCGCTGTCCGGCATTGGATGAGGCTTTTTTCTGAGCATTCATCTTCTTCGCCCACTTTTCCATTTCTCGTGCAATCTGTTGAGCTGTTTTACCACGATCATCCTAAAACGCAAAGATAAATGTTAGTTTCCTATATACTACTTTCAGTATTACTTGTTATTTTTATTTACCCAGACTTCTACTGCGTTCATGGAAAACGCTAAAAATATGAAACGACGAGATGAAGTCAAATCTTAAGCTGCTTTCAGGCTTTAGATTGATATGTATAAGACTTAAGAAGACGTAGATAATACGAAAATCAAGATTGAACTTACTTTGTTTTTAGGAGCATCTGAAGTATCGGTTTGAGAGTTGGAAGCCGCATTATCGACGGAATTGGATTGAGGATTTGTTTGTGGTACAGGAAGATATGTACTCTTCGTTTGATCCCAATAATAATATTGCTGACTTCCGCGGTCATAAAAGTATTTTGAGTTCGGTTCATACATTAGACCAGTGACAGGATCATAGTAAAAGCGAGTAGACTCATCGTATATGTACTTGGATGTGTCCGGAAATGCTGTGATAAAAATGTTAGACAGTTTATTTGTCAGTAAACTTCAGAAGTGTTCGTTCTCAGTAGATTTTTATTGTATCAAAAAACCTATATCTTTCCTAATAATAGTTATATTTCTCTTATAACGTTGATTGTAAAACATAACAAATGAAACCAACACGATTGTGCATCAAAACATACGTTGCCTTCTGCATTAATCAGCTTATTTTAATTAGTCAAATTTATAACCCAGTGAGAGTTATTTGGAGGTTTATTTACACTATATCATGTGCACATTAATCTTAATAGCAATAACCAGTGTCACGATGTCAAAAACTAAATGTTCGAGACAACTCACTGAATAAATTTTATGACAGGATGTAAAGACTATGCCAATTATCTTCGAAGGAATGCTGATCGATTAATCAATGCAATATGAACTGAGTAACATCACTATCTACTCAAGTTTTTAATTTAGAATACATATTAAAATTAATCGTCAAAATAAAAAAAAAACTACAGCATACTAACAGCATGGGTGATTATGATGTGATGCACAGTTCGTGCAGATTTCAAAGACAGTTTACCTAAGCCTTCGTGACTATGGAGATGTTATGAACAGGTTTATTTGTTTAAGTAGTGAATAGAATGCTGACGGACCGGATAGGACAAGATATAATCGATTAATAAGCATAAAATTGACGGATAAATAATGCTTTCCATGGTAAAATAATACGTATACAAAATATAAACATAACTGCATAATATTTACGCCTTCCTGACGAGTGCTAACTAGGGTGAGACTAAAATCCATGGGTTCCTTTCAACCGCCCAAAAGCAGAAAAGAGCTCATGTGATGTCAAATAACTTAGACTAGTAGCTACATCGCAACTCGACTGAGAGAACCCGCTCAATTCCAAAGATCAGAAAAAACATGACATTGGCTAATAATTAATGGTTAATCAACGTGAAATAGAAACAAAATTACGACGGGGTTTTGTATACCACTTAATAATCAGTTAAAGTACAACCCGAGTATTAGTTTTATTTTTAATCTTCTATATGTGACTTGATAAACTGAAGGAATTTACAGACCTCGAATCAGTAAACCAATAAACCTACCACCTTAAGGTATTGAATACGTTAACTCGTAAATATACGAAAAATGATAATTCAACCGTGACTTTCATCAAAACTGCAAATAGACAACAATATAGAGCTTGACGCTGCTTTGACAATAACAACATTTGAGAAGTAGATCACGTAAACTAAATACAAGGAACAATAATATCCATATGCTTCAGTATTTGAATCAAGTACAAAGTAAATGGTTGATGCTAATAATGCATATAATAAATCGCAAAGGTCGAAACCCAATTTTTGTCAATCATAATTATTTTCCAAAATGTTAGATAATATGGCCTTACGATATGTAGTCGTAGATGCCGTCACAGCGTTGAACGGGAACGAAGGAGGTGGGAGCTGCTGACCGGATGCTACGAGTGCTGCCATAGACGGTGCATAGTTAGATGAGACAGTATGTTCTGAATGGTTACGCAAAGATTTCGTCAGAGCTGACAAAACATGTTGTTCAGTTTGTTTTTGTTGTATGGCTGCCTGGGCAACAGCAGCTCCATTGTTTGAAGTTTGACTCAGTAATGCTGATGCAGCAACTGCATTCATTGCAACAGTATCGGGTGATATGTTATTATTTTGTGCAGCCATAGCTGCATGCGCTAAATCCAGAGCCAAGTTGCGACTGCTGTTTAACTGAGCGTTATATGATCCTTCCGTTTTTAGTGTTGCCATAATAGTACTTTAAAAGATGATAATGGAAAAGTGGAATAGCACATGATGAGTGAAAAAGATGTTTGAATCAGCAACTAAATACACAATTATTGATTTGAATGCGTCAAAACCTACATATACATACTACTTAGCTATATTGTACGACCGTACTAATCTAAAAACTTGAGTCAATTTATGGTTCAGCAGTTAAGAATCAAATTAAGTGTGACAACTAACATATGATTAGTAATAAGACCCGGCTAAACAATTACCTGGTAAAATTATCCCGTCGCTGATATTTTGACTGAAATCTGATCAGTCTTGAATGACATGCGCACAGTATATAGGTCGCATTTATATATATATATATATATATATATATATATATATATATATATATATATATATATATATATATATGGCTGGCAGCGGAATTCATGACGCGTGTTTTCACCTGTTTGAGACCAATCATTTGGATATACCTGGACTCCAAAATTTAAGTCAAAGGGACCGGGCTCGAGTCCTGGAGTGAACATAGACTCTGAGACCCAGATACAAATGAGTCCCAAGTAGAAGAAAACGTGAATAGTAAACTCAACTGCTAGTCACATTTCATTTATTCTATACGAGATTGCCAAACGATTTTGACTTAGCAAGAGTTGTAATGTAGAGTAAATGCTATTTCAAGAATTATTGTTTGGAGATAAGTAGCATAAATAAAGTGTCTACATCTTGATAGGCATTCCGACCTTAGTCATTTATAAACGTGAGACATTCATACTTGATATATAAATGTAAAAATTACGGCATCAGGCTATCCAATGCCTGGACACATTATAAGATGGAAACCGAAAGAGGAAATAAACTACTATGATACTCAGCATTAATCATAAACTTTTTTAGATGGTTAAAGCACATATCGACTTTTTTCTAATTGTACACAAATATAATCGACCAGGATTATGCTAACTCTTAACTTCCTTACTTCTATCAAATAATAAAATTTATAAGCAACTGAACACCTTGAACATAAAAAGTAACTAAACAAGAACTTTCATCTAAATTTGAACGAATAGTTTCACAATATTTGGGCGCCGAGTTAATGTGAGTCATTAAAGAGGAATAATATATATTTGTAAAATCTCAGCGAAAGAATTTGAAGTAATTCCAACGTTTCGCCTGGCAATCTGGTCCAAGCTTTTTCAAGGAAAATATAATCAAACAACAAAATTATCGAATACAAATAGGTACATAGTTCTTCGGTTTACTGTATACTGAATAAGTCATCCAATCAACGCGAAGGATTTTTTTTCTATCGCCTAGGATAACACGACAATTTCTTATTCTTTTTCTCCCTTCTATTATTATCATTTTTAATTGAACCTTTATTTGGTCGACCTTTATTATTTTCATATAAACATGCCTTTTACACATTAATGCAAATACCTATTTTTTAAAAACCCTTCACGTTGATTGGATGACTTATTCAGTATACAGTAAACCGAAGAACTATGTACCTATTTGTATTCGATAATTTTGTTGTTTGATTATATTTTCCTTGAAAAAGCTTGGACCAGATTGCCAGGCGAAACGTTGGAATTACTTCAAATTCTTTCGCTGAGATTTTACAAATATATATTATTTCTCTTTAATGATAAAAAGTAACTATTCGTATATTCCTGTGAAGTCAAGTATGAAGTACAGTTTAAAAGGGTGAGCAGTGTTGAGAATCACAAACAACCAAATTCAGATACGTTCTGCTGAAGGATCTAAAACAACAGGTGTTATGAGTTTTACGGTGTCGCAGTGTAAAAAGCTACACAGGACTGGCTCTTATTGGTCCTTTACAACTCCCTGGTCGGGGTCCTAGGGATGGTACTACATAGTGGCTTGAGACGTTATCAGATACTGCCCAAAATACAAGCCAGTGTCAATCCTGCTGTAACTTTGCTTTCTTCATAAAAGTGAGAGCAACTTCTTTAACTGAAAGAATTCTTTCTGATTGTATTTTTCCTAACTGAACTGCTTCTCCCATTAGTTTGTATTTATTGTCGTTCTTTCTTCTTACATTCACCTTCCTATTTGTTACATTACAACCTTATTTTTATTGTGGAGCATCTATATTTTGATGTTCCTTTGTACCAATGTCTACGTGTTCAAATAAATAAATCTGAGGTTGACTGACAATCAGCACTAAAAATCTCACCAAAGGTGCGCATGCGAAAAACGTTCACCTACCTTTTCAGGAAGCCTATACTCTAACAAAGATTAGATAATTAAGTCAAGAATATCAGCAGTAGGAAAACGAGATCGCTGAGATTAATGAAAAATACTGTTTACTACAAACTTGGGTTTTAATTTTGTATCTCTGGCTATCCAAGTGTATCACTGAGTGATGAGTAAATAGTAGTGTTTCTATTTACCGTTGGTTGCTTTATAATCTTAATTTATTTCTTTAAATAATTTACTAGAAGAATGGTATTTATACATATAGACTAAAGTGAAGTCCTAGCACCAAAATCAAATTAAGTAAAATATTACATTCAAGGGAAAACCACTTAGTAGTAAGACAAGGTGATTCTTATACCTGAAGAATGAGTATCATGCTCAACTAGAAAGCCATATTCGCTACTTACGTTTAGTACATTGGTCACAACCAACACTTACCCGAGTAAAATTACTAATTTAACCTTATAAAAGCGGAAATCCATATGACTACAGAAGTGAATGCAGGTCACCTCCAATTAATATAAACCTGAGGAATGTTATAGGTGACAGAAATCAGTATTATTGTGACCTTTCAGACTTATTATTAATGATCATCTGTAATGTGGCAACGTAATCTACGCCTGCTTCTGCTTGGTGTACAAAACTAAGTATTGTGATGTTTACTCGTGTAATTGTATTTTCTTTGAACAAATACACTTTTGAAAGCCCTGTCTTTCTCTGTATTCTTATTCATTGACAGTTACTATAGCTGAGTCGTGTAGTAGTATCCGATCCGTCTAGTCCGCATTAGACAGGCCTTTGTATTAGAAATCTTCTGATCATTCTCACCTTGTATCCCAACAATATCTAAGACTAAACAAGGAAGTGCCGAGGACTCACAACTGGTAACTTGAATATATAACCTAATTGCAGCAGAATAAGGACACTCAAAAAAGTATTTAGCTTCATACTGAACTAGTGTGAATATATCAGGAACGGTCACACCGACGAAGCATAATCTTGAGCATGATGTGGAATTGCAACGTTTTTGAACTTAGTTAAACTAAAGTTATCCCAACTCATACACGTATAGATTTAAGAACTGGATCTTTGGTTCACACTTGCTATAAGTTTTGAAGAGATATTACCCGCTTCCAAAAAAATGTAGGAGGAACAACGTTTACACTTGAGGCACAACAGTTGAGATCCAAATACTTAAATTACTAGACTATTCTACTGTTGACAAAATCGGATCTATAAAGTAAAACGAGTGCCCAGACCAATTATTGCTAGTTAGATAGGAAACACTCCATGAACGTCAGATAAATATTAGACTAACTTGAAAGTATTCTTTGCGTACGAGACTGTTACTGCTTTTCCTCCAACCTCAAAAAGCTTGAATTCTTTGTTTACTATATCCATGACTTTGTAAGCATCAGCAACCGTGGGAAGCTCCGCAAAAGCAAAGCACCTGGAAGCATGTGTTACTTCATCTCTCATTACATGACATTGTCGCACTTTTACGTCGGCCGTATCTTGAAAAACCTGGCAAATATCATCTTCCGTAGTTAATGCATCCAAGCATCTCAAGACGAGAGCTGAAAATCCAAAATATCGATTCAGTGACTTTTCAACTAATAAGCAAAAAGTTTTTGTCATACTGTATCTAAGCTTTGAGTATGTCATTGATTTACGTCGAAACCTGCCAATATGGTTTTCAGGTAAGGATACATTAAATGCAAACGACGAATAGCTATTTCTCAATTAATTGACGCAAATTGACTACCCTCATTACTATGATATTCTTAAACTGGAAGTATAAGAACTCCAATTGATTATTTAGATAACAGGAATTGTCTTCAGAAAATACTCATGTGGTTAGTCCTAAACATTTCTTCTCTTTAAGCAGCATTGTCTAGTACAGAAAACTTTAAGCAGACATATATAAACTTATTCTATCAGTGAGAATCACTTCGTTTAGTGGTCTACCGCTCTTGGAGTGGTTTGCTTTGATGTTACCAAGCTATATCTCACAATCAAAAAGTGGGACTGAATATTCGTTCTCTCACTGTCAGTAGAACAGTAACTAAACACAATAACGCTATCTTCTGTACATCAGTTCGTGAAGTTAGGCAAAATGGTATTTTTCCTAGGAGCATATCTGTGGTGGCAGTACAGTCACCCTTCACATCCAGACAAGGTGATATGGACGAAGGTCAATAAACTTCGAGGAGCAACCCAACTGGTCTTTTATTGACTGCTACTCACGGATAGCATTAATGAGAGGTCATGTAGTTAAAAACACCGTAACTAACGTGGACCAAAAAGAGCAGTACGACCTGGTGGGTTAACTCTAAAGGTATTTGAAAAAAGTTTGTTCTACGTCAAAAGTAACTGATATGTCAAGCAAAGTGTGGGATTTCTCCACACAGTGACAACATTGATATTTTTGATGCAAACTGCGTGCCAATTATAGCTAGTAGATGAAGATCTTAGATAGAATGACTCGAAACCAGTCGCTGTGACGTAGATGTATTTGTTATTTTCTCTTTCCCTAAACTTTGGGTTTAAGTATTTCATCTCCTAATTAAGTCATATTGTGTCTAATATTTATTACAACCATAAATACTACTGTGGTGTATGCTACTTATGTTGGTAGATATAAGTACTATGTAACACCAATCGGAAACTGAAAACCCGACAGCAGAGGGTTATGAAGGTCGACATGAAAACAGAAAAGGAGTTAGGAAGGGAACAATCATACATAATGTGAAGGACAAATGATGGAATATTTCAAATGAAGTATTCAATGTATGGTTCTCATATTTTACCAAGAGATTTTGTAATTTTGTATTGGTTGTCCACACCCGAGTTTTCGTTCATTGAACTGCTACCTAGACTCCTTTGTCACACAATCGGTAAACTTCACCTCATTGTGGAAAACAGATGCACATTTATACCACATCCTACGTTATTTATGACTTACTTGACAATCGACATCTAAAAGTATTGAGTATACTTTAAACCATCGAAATGAGATGATAGGAGACTCCATCTACTAATATTAGGCAGTGAGGAATGACAGAGAGATTTGTGCATCCGGAGGGTTTGCGTGAGTGATGGATACATACGAGTTTGACCCAAACGTTGTGAAAGACGAAAAGTTATGATAACAATTGGAGTTGTTGCAAAGTCTGTCTGCCTGTGAAACCGTCTCTCAGAAATTGGTAATGCACAGCGAGAACGTTGTTCCAGTATTCCCAGAAACCGAAAACGTGTATAACAGTGAAGTCAAATATTTGTTGACATTTAACATCGGTTATAGTGGCTTGCCTTGGTGGTCTCTTCACTGTACATCATTTTATGGAGTTGCGTCTTGGTGTTAAATGCTGTGATGAGTTCACAAAGGTAATTATAAGTAACTGATGTTAAATCGTTAGTAGCGAATTTTTGAGTGGGACCCTAAAGATGGTCAATTTAAATGACTTGGAATATTATCATATATGGTTTAACATAGAATACAATAGTGATTCTACTGTAGTTTTGTATTACGTTCTAAATGGACGGAATTTACTTTGGTAGTCTTTATCGTCGCACAGTATTTTGTACTTAATGCCTCTCTCGTTTACACGTATGTTTCTATGACCTTTCTCTTATCACTTCATTCTACTGACACATTTCGGGTACTCTATGCTACAACACTTGTTTTGTGAATAACCGAGTATACCTAGAGAAAATAATATAAAAGGGAGAACGGTGAAAAATGCTAAACATTTGGTATTATTTTACTCACTATTGCATGGAGTTGTACCGATGAGATCAACACCATCGACTGAGTTTGTGAGGGATTGCACTTGAGACCTCGGCAACTGACATTTATAGCACTGATCTCGCCTTCTGAAGTTGTGACTAGAACACTAGATAGGAATTAACCAGTAGAAGGGTCGGGTGAATTATTACTTTAGAAGTTATTTCCAGCACGATAAATTTAAATTTCGAAACAACTGTGAGATGAAATACTTAAATAATACCCACCCTTGAACAGATCCAGTCTCCGGTGGAGACTTCTGACAACGCAGGAGGACGAGTCATAAAGCTTGACGGACCAAGTAACCCGGGAGCATCTCCAGAATGATGTATCAATGAATCAAGCTGGTTGCGGGGAGTACTGTACATCAATCGTATTTCATAGCGTCGCACACGAAACATACCCTAAATAAAGAAGAAAACATATTTAAATAAGGCTATTTCATACGGATTAGGCCCATGATTCCAAACTATACGACATTTACGAGGTGAAGATAAGCATGTTTAGGAAACTTGACAAAGATAACCTGTACTGTGAATGCATTACTTTTTGATGGTCCATCCAACGTCTTGCTTCATGGACAGAAGCGAAATCCACAAAACCGAAGCCCTTCGATATACCTGCGAACAGATTTGAATAAGACAGGAATAAAACAAATGCAGAGAAAAATTCTTTATCGACAAAATTCACTATTAGGAATGCGATTTACAGGTCCCGACTCGGAAAACTGGAAAGTTCAGCCAAGAAACAGTGCAGAATAGCCTTTTCCTCGTAATCTAGGTTTAAGTTCCAAATCGTAAATGCATTAAACTAAGTTTGGAATTAGGTTTGTTGTGCCTAAGTGACTACAAAAACTATCTTCACGTTAAAACTCTAGGTTTAATCGTTACAACAGTTGAATACCTATAATAGTTACGAACTAATCTCTCCTTTTCTTGCTTCTTAATGTGACGGATTATTTTAATATCAACACTTGGAGATCTAAGCGCAGAAGCTTGTATATACTCTTCAGACACTATACTCATAAGGATAACACTCAGAACGTTTAACACTTAATAGTTCTGACACTGGAGAAAATATTAACCCTCAAGATTAGTCTTCAATGAAACCAGGTTTTTAATGGGTCATCTTAATTAAGAAATGAAAGCTTATGTTGATATCTTAGATATCATCAATTAAATGGCATCTAGTGCAGGACTAATAATCATATGGAACACTTAGAGCAAAGATTATGACAGGCTTTGCCAATCAGTTCTTTAATACTAGAGTTCACACCTTACTGTTTGGTATTACGCTTTTTCGGATGAATGACCATTTTCACCGGAATATATGGGTCTGTCACGAGAATATAAGTGCAACCGAAGCGTCAACAAGAAGCAGACGTATGCTTAACTAAAACCAGTAGCTAGGGCGTACTATAAGAATGGAGACCAAACGAGATACTAAGAAAACCAATCTAGTGGGATACACATATGTTAATATAATAGAAATTTTTCGAGGACTAGATGTAACGAAAAACTTGTGAATAATTGTTTGGAAGTTCAATGATTTGATAAGTTACAAAAGTTGCTGAATATAACGATCCACAGACAATCCAATAAATGATATAGCCTCAGAATATTTATTTTCACTCAGGAATACGTATAAGTCAGTCAATTATTAGTAACGTAAAGGTGAAAGCAAGTTCAAAATCAACAAACAACTATTATATTTCAATAGTTTATTGAAGCGGGAAAGGAAATAAATACATACCCGTTGTTTTATCCTTGATTACACGAACGTCTAAGTAACTCACGCGAGCATCATCAAGAGCGTCACGAATCTATAAATGAACTGAGTTGAAACAATACGTACATCTCGATGATCAAGGGAAGTGGGGATCCCACGCAGCATAATAGTTGGTGATGCATCGTCGAACTGAAAGGATTAATTTTATGGACGACCTTACTTCATCATCACGCTTTTCCTTAGGGTTGCTATAGTTAAGCCTAATTATTGTTTTTCGTACCTCAATTTCTCCCTAGACAATACACAGCTTGAAAGTCTGAACCTTACCTGGCAATCTCGCATAAACTGTTTGGCATCATTCGCCGATACAAAGTCAACAAATCCAATCCACCTTCCAGTCTTTTTATCGCGAACAAGACGTACGTCAGTATAGTTTGCGTGTTCACTATCAAGTGTACGTCGAACCTTAAACAATAAAACTCAAGTAAATCTGCACTCACATCACGCTCCGTTGTTGACGAAGTCAAGCCACGCAACATAATCGTTGGAGTAGGTATATCCTGTGAAGAACTCAAAAAACCGACTGCAACAAACCATTTCAAAAGTTTCCAAAATAAGGAAGTGAGTTTATTATGAGGGCTTTCGTGCAGCAATTTGAAAAGTTGGGATCTTATAAGTATCAAATTTTCAGCGTTAATTTTCTGAAATTCGAAGGACTTGATTTCTGAATACGAAATTCGAGATACTGAAAAAAGCTAATCAGTAAGGTATAGAAGCATCACTAACTGTTTCGACGGGAAAACAGGACCACACCAGGAAGATCAACAGATGCGGTTTTCACTAACCGCGCCTCAGTATTAAGGAATCCCACTGATTAGAACAAAATTAGCTTGTTACTCATGACAGAACTGGCAGGTTTCTGTTCAGACCATAAAACGTTGGCGGATAAGGCCACATTAGCTTCGATTTATTTATAAAGGTTACACTAGTTTTCCTCAACATGGTCATGTGATAAAGGATTGTCGTGCCTCATGAAGAAAACACACGAGAGAACCATGATGAAAAAAGACTACTATTGCCCAAGTGCTACCATTATGTAATCATGCTACTGGGAAGCCTATGTACTAAGTAATCTCAGTGTCATCATGTTATGCTGGTCCTTATCATCTTAATATTAATTCTATTTTCTCTACTTTGACGACCTGCTATTCTTTGACAGATTTGAAGCAAAAGTAATGGCCTGAGATCGACGTTGCAGTTGACACTCAGTATGCTGGCCTTTATTTTGCTTGAACTAATTGACTTTCAGTAGTTCATCATGTCAGTAAAGCTATGCCCATTCGTTTGTAAGAAACTTTAATAAACTATCCATTCGCTAGATTGTTTCGTGAAACGCCTATGAGTAAAAACTTAAAGCGACACGCGTAATTGCTCGTTAGTCACATTCATGAAGGATACTGAATGCTATCTTATCCCACCCTCGCCACAGCACACATTTGGCAGGAATGATCGAACGGTAGATAATTATTCGTCAAAATGACATTCCTGTAAATCTACTACAGGCTTATTCACGCACTCGCCTTTCACATGGAATCCGAACATAATGAGTTCCTATATATATATGGATGGTTTTGTTATTGAAATAAGTTTTACTCTAAATCCTAATATTTACTATGGTTGTAGACTTCTGATGCTTTAACAAGTAAGCTTTTCCCTGCTCTAAATTAACCCAAAAGAACCACCAAACTTGAAACATCGGAAGATAGACGTACTAAACATGAGAAAACGGTATTGATCCTAAAAAATGTTAATCATAATGTAAAAATAATTAGAAATGTACCGAGAGAAGATCACTACTGTGGACGGGGAATAAAGTGCCGAGAGTTGGTACGGTTGTTTTGCTTCATCGTATGGTTGACAAAACGTATCAGAAACGATATATTATTAAATTTCTTGTTGGTTTACTGCCCTGTCTACCCAATAATATACTGAAGAGGACTAGTCTTGATATAAGTTAAAGCTTTGACACGAAAAGTTAACTGACTCAACCATGGGGCTAGAAACGTGTGAGTCTAAATCGAGACACTAACGATCTTGTGCAGAGAGATGAAAACTTTTCTACCACCTGATTTTTCGTCAAGCAAGAGGGCGAGAGAGAAAACGCGTCTACTGGCATACCACTCTATTATTAAATGACTCCTGATTCCGTTTGATGTAAAAACGATACATCAATGAATAGCTGACTAAGACAAGCACAACGCACAAACTGGGCATTAGAGTAGAAAAATAGAGTTAAAAAGGTTATGTTCAAAGTGAAACAGCCCTGGGATAGAAAGAAGAATAGCAGTGAGTCATACATTAAACTAAAGCTTATTGTTTGCAGAATAGAATAGGAACAAAACTAAATGTCAGAATTTAACAAACGTTGAAGTGAGCGTAATAACACTCATAAAAATAGCTGCCGTTACCTTTAATGATCTCTTTATTTCTCTTTTCACATCAGCTCACCATGAAACAAGCAACGTACTTTCAAGTTCTTTGACTATAAGATATCCAGCTTACATCAATGTAAAGTCATGTCTTAACAAGAGAGTGTACCGACTAAAACCTTCTCTGTATTTATGGGTTCTTGTAGTGGCATTGAGACTTAACCACACAATCCTTAATGCTGAACAGGAAGCAACTGTGTAAATAGATATTCAACATTTAACGCGTAGAAAAACGCTACGATGTAGAAGGCGAGAAGAATGAATAGAGTTAACTCGAATTGACCGGATGGCATGCCTTGGCCTTTCAGGCGTGGTGGTTGTTTAGTGTTGTTATATACCTTCTATTCATAAGAAATATATTGTTCTATCTCTAGCCTTAGCGTGTTCTTCATCATATATTGATGATTGTCACGATGCGATTAGTCAGTGTAGACAATCATGTGACTTCCTATAGGTTAGGCAGTTACATCATGACAAATCTTCAGTTTTAGGATCAAGCCTATTATTAGAGCAGTACTAATATCACAATAGACCATAATTCTACATTTTCTTGTAAATTAAAAAGGTCTGCGAATTGGACTCGAAAATCTACAAATCGAATTAAAAACAACAGTATGTGGTATATTCAACTCAAATTAGGGTAAATTTGCAAAAGTCGTGATAATTTCAAAAAACCTAAGTTAAAAGAAAGGTATTCGGGTGACAGTTATATATTAATAATCTGTAACCCGTGGAAAGTCAAGGAAGACGTGTTTGTTAGTCCTTTTCAAATCTGACTCTGAAAATAAACAGACAACATAGTTGTTGCGCTCACTCAGATATACACTGATGATGTCACAGGTATTCAGTGTTTGACAACGCTTCTACCAGTAACACCTTCTAATATATTTCGTTCCCGCCCAGAGAAATCAAAAGACAGAGTCGAGGAGATCGGAAGAGTATATTTGGCGATGACCAATATATCGGAATTCTCTGATCTAATCTGGCTAGCGATTGCGGTTGATGCTGAGCACGGCGTTACCACACGTGATCTGGTGCGGATGCCTGACCGAGCGCCTTCAGCTAGATGAGTCCACTAAAACACATGGTCAGCATCCAATGTCGAAAACTTACAGAGCTATTTATTTTGGGGATTTATTTACCGCTACAGATCACTCCCCCCCTAGTGGGGCAGTGACGACCCTAAGACGTGGCCAGCCAGAAGTTTAAACCCAACGAGTTTGTCGTTGGTAAACACTCTTCTGATAGCTTACTAAGTGTAGCAGCGTCTGGTCGTCTTTCCTTACTATATGGAACCGAGGTACAACATAGTAAAAAAAGAAAATGTACAATGAAAATTTCGGATCCTCATAAACGTCATCGTTCTTTTCCAGCCGTCCTGGAAAAGAAAAAAGAAAATGTAAGTGCATGTCGAAAATACACTCGTATGTGCGTAAAAACACAATGTCGGCGGAAAGGAAATGGAAAATAAACTCAAGCACACGTAATAGCGTTAAAAAAAAATAATTTTTTTGTTTTTTGTTTTTTTTTAAAAAATAAAAATAAAAATATATAGGCATATTATTTACCGCTACAACACAAATGAAAAATGTGTTATCGACGGAGCAAGAGCAGTCGAATCACTTGCACCCGTTTGCTTATATCATGCTAGCTGCCGGAAATACCCTGAGTGTCGTTTGTGTTTGAATGTTAAGGTTTTGCTGACGCATGTATATTAATTGAAGCAGATCGAATTGTAGGAGCAACGGGAACTATAGTGAAAATGCTGATAACCGATCTTCATTCTCTCTACTTTGTTATAACTTCTCAATTGATAATTGTGTGTTCAATTTGGTCTTCAGATATCATAAACGGCTAATTTTATCGTTGAAATTACGTTTATGACTGATCAACTGGGTGGTCCTACGACGTTTGAACGGGTCATATGTAGTCTCTTAACTCTAAGTACCAGTAAGTTAGCTTTCTCATTAGTTTAGCAACCATATACATTAATCGAAATATATCTGACCTTCACAGAATGTTGTCAAAGTAACTGGATTTGTCAGCACGTACTGAACATATGAAGTGTTTCATCCTTATTTAAATGTAAATGTAGGTAAGGCCGAATGTTGGATACTAGCTTTTTTACTCACGAAAACATTTTCGACATATTTTTTCTGTTATAGAAGTTAAGGTAGCATTCATACAGGCTTTCAAACACAGTCATTATTGTATATAAACACTCTGATGCTTATTTTATGGGACCCGTATTTAAACTGTTAATGATGATCTTTATAAATGGCAGATAATTAATTAAACCAGTATATTACTTTTATTGACACGTGGCGTTCATCTTTTGGCGTGGTTGAATAAAAGAATTGTAGCAGCAAACACACCTGTTCTATTAATGATTGTTTTCAATATTTAGCGTTGTTAACGCCTAAGTTGTTAAGGATAGTTCTAATCCTATGCTGTGATAGTAAATATTAATCTCACGATTCTCAGCCTAGCTATAGAAATAATAAGGCTTTATTAATATTTATAGTGCAACGGATGAGGTTAATTCATAAGATCACGGTGTGATTATAAAACTACTTTGCTGTTTAAAGCGTAGACGCAATACCTAATATCTATATGACAGGTGACAGACGATAAATAGACCGAGTAATAACTAGGATAAAAATGTTCTGGAATACACACATTACAGTAATTTAATTAGCCCACATATACAGTAGTTATAAACAATCAGACTATGGTTAGATTGAACGAATACAACTGGAATGGAATAACACACCGCTAATTACCCATCAACGAACAAACCGCTCTAATCATCCAGCTGGTTAACTTCCACAAGCAATGTATCAGGAATAAGCGCATTGTCTGTAACAATTGGCGTCGATTAAATGATGTAGATTGCTAGGTATACTAAAACGTACAATCTAATGCGTTTTCTCATAAAATCAGATGGGATAGGATGACTGTTATACTTGTTATCATCTTGAACGATATCCAGAGCAAATATGTCGAACGAGTACCAGAATACTAATTTTCTTGAATACATATTACGGTTATTAATTTCACCATAATCTACATTGGTTACAAACAATCAAAATATAATTAGATTGAATGAAGACAACTGAACTGGAACAGCACTAGTATTGAATGAACATCAAAAATATACCTCTTTGTAGCTGAATTGGATTTATATTTACACTGCCACTTAAAATCACCAGAGATTATGTTGTAATGGGAATAACACCGACAACAGAATAATCAACTATTGTATTGTAGTGGAAAAAAGTCCGTGACTATATTAGACTGGTCTAATGTGCACTGTACTGAAATGAATACAAACTGTCTAGAGTGTCAATTATTCCGTATGTTTCAAGTA